GGGGGAATTCCCAAGGATTTTGGGGAAATGCCAAAGGATTTTGGAGAAATTGCCAAGGATTTTGGGCAGGATTTCCAAGGATTTTTGAGGAAATTCCCAAGGATTTTGGGCAAATTTCCAAGGATTTTTGAGAAATTCCCAAGGATTTTGGGAAAATCCCCACTGTTTCTCCCACCGTGCCACACACGGGGGGATGCTTCTGTCTCGGGGTGACAGAGCACGCACCCCAGTGTGAATTCCCAAATTTCCAAGTGTTTTGGGGAAATTCCCAAGGATTTGGAGAAATTCCCACCGATTTTGCATGAGGAGGCTGATCCCCTCTCGGGGTGTGACAGCACCCAGACACCCCCAGTGTGAGGGTTTGATGGGACTGGGATTGCCGGAGGTTGGGAGGGACAAGGGGACATGCAGCCGGTCCCCATGGGATCACCGGAGTTTTGGAGGGACAAGGGACACTCAGACTGTCCCCACGGGGTCACCGGAGGTTGGGAAGGACAAGGGACATCCAGGCGGGATCACCGAAGCCTGGGAGGGACAAATGACACGCAGCCGATCCCCAGGGGATCGCTGGAATTTGGGGAGGGACAAGGGACATCCAGTCGGTCCCCAAAGGATCACGGAAGCTGAGGAGGGCCAAGGGGACACCCAGCCGGTCCCTATGGGATTTCCAGAGGTTTGGAGGGACAAGAGACACCCACCGGTCCCCACACTAAAGCCTGGGAGGGACAAGGGACATCCAGGCGGTTCCCACGGGATTTCCAGAGATTGGGGAGGGACAAGGGACACCCAGCTGTGAGATCACTGAAGCTGGGGAGGGACAAGGGACATCCAGCCGGTCCCCATGGGATTGTCGGACGTTGGGAGGGACAAGTGACACCCAGCCGGTCCCCCCGGGATCTCCCGAGGTTTGGAAGGACAGGTGACACCCAGGCGGTCCCCACACTGAAGTCTGGGAGGGACAAGTGACACCCAGGCGGTCCCCATGGGATTTCCAGAGGTTGGGAGGGACAAGTGACACCCAGCCGGTCCCCATGGGATTGTCGGACATTGGGAGGGAAAAGGGACACCCAGGCAGTCCCCACCTCTCTGTGTGACAAGTGACACCCAACCGGTCCCCATGGGATCCCCCGTGATTTGGAGAGACAAGTGAGACCCAGACAGGATCACCGAAACCTGGGAGGCACAAGTGACACCCAGGCGGTCCCCACGGGATCGCTGGAATTTGGGGAGGGACAAGTGACACCCAGCCGGTCCCCACGGGATTTCCAGAGGTTTGGATTGACAAATGACACCCAGGCGGGATCCCCCGAGGTTTGGAAGGACAAGTGACACCCAGGCGGTCCCCACGGAATCACCGGAGGTTGGGAAGGAAAAGTGACACCCAGCCGTGGGACCAGTGAAGCCTGGGAGGGACAAATGACACCCAGCTGGTCCCCAGAGGATCGCGGGAGGGACAAGGGGACACCCAGCCTGTCCCCACGGCATCTCCCGAGGTTTCGAGGGACAAGGGACACCGAGCTGGTCCCCATACGATCTCCAGAGGTTGGGAGGGACAAGTGACACCCAACCGGTCCCCATGGGATCACCGGAGTTTTGGAGGGACAAGTAAGTGACACCCAGGCGGGGTCCTCCGAGGTTTGGAAGGACAAGTGCCACCCAGCCGGTCCCCACCGCTCCATGTGACAAGTGACACCCAGCCGGTCCCCACCCACTCCCCGTGTGACAAATGACACCCAGGCGGGATCCCCCGAGGTTTCGAGTGACAAGTGCCACCCAGCCGGTCCCCACTCACTCTCCCCATCCTCCCACCAGGATCCTCCACCCCGAACTCCCCCTCTCCTCCCGGGATAATCCATCCCCGCACCCCCGGCACCGCTCGGGACTAACTAAGCCGGGCTTACTCTCCCCTCCAGGCCGGATGACCGATGCCTGCAGCGCAACACAACGCTCCGCATCCCCCTCTGCCAGCCTGGATGCCTCCGACCCGGAGCTGCACTACGAGGATGAGGATGAAGATGAAGATGCACAAACATCCTCGCAATCCTCGGAACCGTCGGACAGCAGCAGCGTTTTTTCCGACGATTCGGTTTATCCGTGCTACGAGCCGAGCCCGGGGGAGGAGGGCAGCGAGGGGCTCACGCTGTACCAGTGCTGTGCCAGGAATGATGCCAGGCTGGTGTGGGAGCGGCTGGAGCGAGGAGTGACCAGAGGAGAGGCCACCGAGATGGACATCAACGGCAGGGTGAGTGTTGGGGTTGGAAATCCTGAAAAAAGATATTTTTTAAATTTTTTTTATTTTTTTTAAATTTTTTTTTCTTTTTTTTCTTTTTTTTTTTTTTTTTTTCCCTTTTTTTTTTTTTTTTTTTTTTTTTTTTTGGAAAATAGGGAAATTATGGAGGATGTGGGGGGTGGTAAACCAGGCTGGGGTTGGTTCGAGTTTTGTTGGGATTTTATAAGCTCAGTTTTATGAGCAAATCAGATCCAAATTCTCCAATTGCACCTTCAGGTGGTGACGTCAATCTCTCCGAGTTTTCTCCCCTCAATTCTTAATTTTTTACGTATTTTGGGGCTCTGAGCAGTGAGGGATCCTCAAATTTCGGGCCTGGAGAGGGATTGTTTTTCCTAAAGATGCRAGAACAGTTTTAATGCAGTGCACGCCGGAGAAATATGAAAATAATGACAATAGAAAGCATGAAATAATGAAATAATAGAAAGTATAAAATAATGAAAATAGAAAGTATGAAATAATAGAAAGTACAAAATAATGAAAATAGAAAATATGAAATAATGAAAATAGAAAGTATGAAATAATAGAAAGTATGAAATAATGACAATAGAAAGTACGAAATAATGAAAATAGAAAGTATAGAATAATGAAAAGAGAAAGTACAAAATAATGAAAATAGAAAATATAAAATAATGACAATAGAAAGTATAAAATAATGAAAATAGAAAGTATGAAATAATAGAAAGTAGGAAATAATGAAAATAGAAAGTATAAAATAATGACACTAGAAAGTATAAAATAATGAAAATAATGACAGCAGAAAGTACGAAATAATGAAAATAGAAAATACAAAATAATAAAAATAGAAAGTATAAAATATTGAAAATAGAAAGTATGAAATAATGAAACTAGTATAAAATAATGAAAATATAAAGTATAAAATAACAAAAATAGAAAGTATAAAATAATGAAAATAGAAAGTACAAAATAATGAAAATATAAAATATAAAATATAAAATAATGACACTAGAAAGTATAAAATAATGACAACAGAAAGTATAAAATAATGAAAATAGAAAGTATAAAATAATGACGAAATAATGAAAATAGAAAGTACAAAATAACAAAAATAAAGAAGGTAAAAATGCTGAGCGCGGTTCCTTCCCCAGAACGGGCTGATGCTCGCCTGCTCCAAGGGATTCGTGGACATCGTGCCCCTCTTGCAGAGCTGCCCCTACATCGACGTCAACCAACAGGACAACGACGGCAACACGGCCCTGATGATGGCTGCGCAGGCAGGTCAGCCCGAAAGGAGGGGTGCGACCCCTGTGTGTCCCCAAAAAAACCCTAAAATGGCTTATTGTGATCACAAAACGCTAAAATGTGCTGTTGTGATCACAAAACGTCCTATTGTAACCCCCCAAAACCCTAAAATGTCCTGTTGTGATCACAAAACACTAAAATGTCCTATTGTGACCCCAAAACGTCCTGTTGTGACCCCCAAAACCCCAAAATATCCTATTGTGACCCTAAAGTGTCTTATTGTGACCCCTCAAACCCTAAAATGTGCTATTGTGATCACAAAACCCTAAAATGTCCTATTGTGATCACAAAAAACATAAAATGTCCTATTGTGACCCCCAAAATATCCTACTGTGACCCCCAAAACCCCAACATATCCTATTGTGACCCTAAAGTGTCCTATTGTGACCCTCCAAACCCTAAAATGTCCTATTGAGACCCCAAAAAACCTGAAAATGTCCTACTGTGATGCCAGAATATCCTACCGTGACCCCCCAAAACCCTAAAATGTCCAATTGTGACCCCAAAAAAGCCCAAAACCCTTGAATTGAACCCTTTTCAATCGCGTTCCCCTCGAGTTCCATCCTCTCCTTTTCAATCCCTCTCCTGATGAATCTTTTCAATCCCATTCCCTTCAAGTTCCTGGCGAACCCTTTTCAATTCCACTTCCCTCGAGCTGCTGTGAACCTTTTTCAATGCTGCTCCTGCGAACACTTTCAATCACGCTCCCCTCGAGTTTCTGCAAACCCTTTTCAATCCCGTTCCCCTGGAGCTCCATCCTCACCTTTTCAATCCCGCTCCTGACGAACCCTTTTCAATCCCATTCCCCTCAAGTTCCTGGTGAACCCTTTTCAATCGCGCTCCCCTTGAGTTCCCGCGAACCCTTTTTAATCCCACTCCCTCCAGTTCCTGCAATCCCTTTTCAATCCCACTGCCCCCGAGCTCCATCCTCACATCCTCAATCCCACTCCCCTCGAGTTCCTGTGAACTTTTTCAGTCGCGCTCCCCTCGAGTTCCTACGATCCTTTTTCAATTCTATACTCCCTCGAGCTCCTGCGAACCCTTTTCAATCCCACTCCTCTGAATCCTTTTCAACCCCACTCCCCTCGAGCTCCATCCTCATTTTTTCAATCCCATTCCCCTCCAGCTCCTATGAACCCTTTTCAATCCCATTTCCTCGAATTCCCATCCTCCCCCTTTCAATCCCACTCCTGCAAACCCTTTTCAATCCTGTTCCCTCGATCTCCTGCGAATCCTTTTCCATCCCATTCCCTCGAGTTCCTGTGAACCCTTTTCAACCCCACTCCCTCTAGTTCCCATCCTCTCCTTTTTAATCCCACTCCTACAAACCCTTTTCAATCCCACACTCCTCGAGCTCCATCCTCACCTTTTCAATTGCGCTCCCCTCGAGTTCCCATGAATCCTTTTCAATCGAGCTCTCCTGGAGCTCCATCGTCACCTTTTCAATCCCTCTCCTGACGATCCCTTTTCCATCCCATTCCCCTCAAGCTCCATCCTCACCTTTTCAACCCCACTTCCCTTGAGTTCCTGCACCTCCACCCTCACCTTTGTCCCCTGCACCCTCACCTTTGTCCCTTCCATCCTCACCTTTGTCCCCTCCATCCTCACCTTTGTCCCTTCCATCCTCACCTTTGTCCCCTCCATCCTCACCTTTGTCCCCTCCATCCTCACCTTTGTCCCCTCCACCCTCACCTTTGTCCCCTCCATCCTCACCTTTGTCCCCTCCACCCTCACCTTTGTCCCCTCCATCCTCACCTTTGTCCC